CCCTCGACTCGCCAGCGGCCGCGATCCCAGCCGCCACCATCAATCAACATGGCGTCTTCCGTACTTTTTTTTCCGTTTATTGACGGCGTTGTGCTGCGTTAGCAAGAGCCTAATATGCAATTTGAAGAAACTTTTCTTCAGTGAGTACAACATCTCGAATTAAATTCTCCTTCTCTTCTCTTCCTCTCTTCTCTCTCTCTCTCTCTATTATAATATATATATATTATATATATTATATATAATATATAATAAATAAAAGTCGCCCATATAACGTATGTTGTGTTCGCACAAAATCAAGTAATCCTTGATCAGAGTAGAACTATTTGCGAGAATGTTTTTCATCATTTAGAATTTTTGTAACAGCGTAGTCCTTAAACGTGATTAAGAAAGCACGAGTGATCAGAGTGGTGTGAGTGTCATGACTCTGCAGGTAGGAAGTATTGCCGCGGTCCCACTAGTGGCATTAATAAAAGGACGTAAGGGTAATATATAAGCGCGGTTTTACAGTATAGTACATCACCTTGATAATTTTGTCTTGAGAATTATTATGTCTGTTGCGCTTTACTTATTATGAAAAAAAATCGAAAATCCTTCATGAACCTTGAATGACAGGGACGTATCTCCGCTCACTGCGATGGTTGTAGGTACGTCTCCTCCCTCTGGAATAGAGAGAAATTGGCTTGCGAAAGTACCGCTTAATGCTGATGTGGCGTCATATGAGTTTAATGAGTCATAAAACGTGCTGCAAATTCTTCTGCAAAGACGACGTTAAGTTGCATTCTGAAGCTAGTTAAAGTGAAGCCCTCTATTTTTTGACTTACACAGTTAAAATTCATTTTAGCGGGGGAATCTGCTAAACGACTGTGATATAAAACAGCTATAATACTGCCAGTGGAAGATGGGCACGCCCATTTGTTTTTTTTAAAATTTAAGTTCGCATTAACAAGTGTAGGCCAAAAGCGACCACTATTGTATTTAACGCGGTACGGTAACCTGGAAGATTATATGATATGGTGATGATAGGAGGGTGAAGAACACAATACATACCATGGCCGAGGCGGAACTCGAATTCTCCGAATCTTCGGGCCCGCCAGTTGCATCTCCCTGAGGGCGGTGGGCGGAGGCGGTGGTGGCGGCGGCGGGCAGGCAGGCGCGGTCGCTGTGGTCTGATGCCAGTGGAGGACGAGGCGAATGGAAACCTCGACAGCGGCCTCGGACGACAGTAGCGCATTTCCGTTCCTGGAGTGTTTCTTCACGGTCTTTATCTCGCGGTGAGAACACGAAGAAAATATGGTTTCTGTGTCGGTCCTTGATGATAACACGTCAAGTACTGAGAAACTGCTTGGCAGGAATTATCAAAACCACTGACCCAGAAATTTTCAAAATCTTTTTGGGACGCTGCCACAATAATATTTTTTTGCTGAGTTAAAATTATTAAATTAAAAGTGTTTGTTTTATCATATATCGCGCTTCTGTGAATACGTTTGCTTGATATCTTTTTAGACGTAATCTACATTCTCGAACTTCTTTTAATTTATAATACAGCGGTTTGTTACTATTTTAACCTCCATTTTCTCTTAAAACCAAAGAAATGATATATTAAAATGAAATAATTCATCATTCAGGTTTCAAATTCTCAATTGAGTGTAAAATTAAAAAAAAACATGATTCAAAAGTATATTGATCTTGTAATCCTTTTTACTTAAGAGTGAAATAAATGCGTGGTCTTTCTACGTTCAGGTTAGAAGGTTTAAACAGGCAAATATTCTTTTCTGTTAAAACCGTTGTCCGTTTGTAAGCGAGAATTGTTAACTTATAGACACTTGATAATTTATGTCACATTATTACTAAATACAATACATAACTGAATGATTTAATAACACAACACAAAACGAAAGAGAGGAAGGAATTCTCCATTCAAACATATTCCCTTCATTTAGCTAAGATGTTTATATAAGGGAGAAATTAGTAAGAAGAAACATGAAATAGTAATACGTGGTGAGGAATATAAACATAAAACAATTCTGGCAAAAAAGTGGCAAATGTATTTTCGTGTGAAGCCACTAACTGCAACTAACCCCCTTGAAGCACAGTTTTGTCGAACAAGACATAAATTTACGTAATCATTACGAATTGTGTGTTTTAAGTTTTTCATAGAAAAACGATCAAAGTTTCGTTTTCATTTCATCTTGTCTCTTACATCGTCAACCCAAAACCTAATCTAAAGCTCGGTCAGTGTGATTCTCTTCGCTCTCGGAACTATTTCAGATATCCTCAAGAATCTGATCCACAGAGCAGCGAGAGGAGAACAAGTGGCGGTCGTCGCAATTGCAAGGCCTTGAGGAGGGTTGCAGACTCGGCTTACGTCAAGCGCTAGCTCCAAGGCCGTTGTAAGCGTCGATCTCACCTCACGCGTCCATTCCAGGAGCCTGTGCGGTGACTCAGGCCGCGGGTGTGAATCCCTCAACTCTCGCAGCTTCAAACTCTCTCTGTTTCCACCCAAACATATTCAGTTTGACCGCTTTATTTGGTTGGTATACTCCAGTAAGAATTTTAGTTACGCCATTCAGAATGAGTACCATATACCATTCCGCAGTATTTGTTTTCGTGCCGTGGGAGAAGTGTCATCGCATTGCACAGTTTACGGATGTATCGAAATGGGCGCCCAGCAAAGCCCGTCCACCAAATCTTCTTCTTCTTCTTCTTCTTCTTCTTCTTCTTCTTCTTCTTCTTCTTCGACGGTTTCTACCCTTAGAGTTTGCCGTTTTCGATTTCCATAATTTCT